TAATATATGATAGGTATATGATGGTTCTCGTGCTGGAATCAGCTGCAGCGATGTGACGTCTTCCTCCTGAAAGCAGCAGCAGAAATTGAAAGTCGGACTAATTTCAGCAGGAGCTGATCAGAAACAGTTGCTGTGAACCTTTCTGTCGCCTCTCGAGCTGCTGTCAGAGGCTCTCCATGATGTCAGAGGCTCTCCATGATGTCAGAGGCTCTCCATGATGTCAGAGGCTGATGAAAGTGTTACAGTGGAAAAAAACAGGAAATGACACTTGGGTCAACTATTGAAGGGTTACAAGCTTTCTTAGTCCAGAGGCATGTATGACCTGTCTGTTGAATCTGGAGCGTTCCTGTTCTGGATAACGAGCTCAGCCTCCTCTCCTGAACATGTGTGATGTGTCCTGATATTTCCCAATGAAACATGAATGAGGTGAATAGAATTGGGCCGAGTACAGAACCTTGAGGAACCACGTGATGAACTTTGTCTCATCGTTATTTGTAAAAATCAGAACCGATGTGATGAATAAGATTGAAAAAAGTTTAGGATGGTATGTGATGGTCTTTGGTGTCACAGATGACTCTAACCTCCTCCTCTTCCTCCTCCTCCTCCTCCTCCTCCTCCTGCAGATGCCCTCCCGCTGCAGGAACACGCTGAACATCGTGGTGACCACCCTTTTCGCTGCGGTGGTCCTCTTCACCATCCTGCTCGCCTACGTCACAGGTTAACACCGACCTCAGGAGAATGTTTACGAGAATCAAAACTAGTGAAGTTCATGTTTTTTTAAAACTTGCTTCCCCCCGTGTGTCTTTGATTCAAAGGCTACCAGTTCATCCACACTGAGCAGCACCACCTTTCCTTTGGCCTCTACGGTGCCTTCCTCTCCCTCCACCTCTTCCTTCAGAGCCTCTTCGCCTTCCTGGAGCATCGGAGGATGAGGAGCCCCGCTCGGCCTCAGCACCTCCGCCGCTCCGTGGCCCTCTGCATCGCGGCCTTCCAGGAGGACCCGGACTACCTGAGGAAGTGCCTGCGCAGCATCCGTCGGATCTCCTTCCCCGGCCTGAAGGTGGTGCTGGTGGTGGATGGGAACCGGCCCGAGGACCGCTACATGATGGACATTTTCCAGGAGGTGATGGGGGGTGCCGACCAGGCGGGCAGTCTGGTGTGGAAGGGCAACTACCACAGCGATGGGAGCGGAGGAGGAGGCGTCAGCGGCGGAGGGAGAAGCACGGTGCACATGGAGGAGGCGGCACGAGTCGCTCGGCTGGTCAGAGGCTGTCGATACTCCTGCGTCATGCAGGAGTGGGGGGGGAAACGAGAGGTGATGTACACGGCCTTTAAAGCCCTGGGAGACAGTGTGGACTACGTGCAGGTGAGAAAAGAGAGAGCACGTACTGTACGACTGCATTTACAGAAAACTGGAAAGAATGGATGGATGTATAGATGGATGGATGGATGTATAGATGGATGGATAGATAGATGGATGGATGTATAGATGGATGGATGGATGGATGGATGGACAGAAATTCAACAGATGCAGTGATTTCTGATTAGATCTGTTGTCTCGGAGGTAAATTAAAAATCCATCAATGAATTCAACAAATGTTCTGATTCACGTCAGCAGACAAACTATACTCTTCACCATTCCTCCACTCTTGTTCTACAAAGACGACGAACAATGAAAGAGTGAGAGAAGACCCACTGGTGCTGCACCATCTGTCTGCCTGTTTGTTCACTAACGTATAAATGGCTCTGCTGTCGATGGCGTGGTTCCATTGTGGACTCTTTGAATTCTGTGTAGAGATTGTAAATGTTGCACACTTGGAAACAGAGAGACGCCGTGCAGGAGGAATGATTCCTTTGTTTCTGGAATCCAGACGAACACGGACACGAACGTGAACTTTAATCAAACAAACGTACTATTATGATATCAGGTTAACGTTAATACGATCATGAATGAACAAAATAATAGTCTAAAACAATTCAGTTATCATGGGGGTGGGGTCTGTTGTCCATTAAAACGTAAAGATATGCCAATTAATTAATTATCAAACAAATAAAAGACATCATCTCTCACAGTCAGACTCAGACTGAAGAACGATGCGTCTCCACGTCCACAAAATTAAACCAAAATATCTCGGGCGGGGGCGTTGCCATTCTGCACTGATGATGTCATTTGCAGCCAGAGTCTGTGCAGTGATCGAGGCGCCGTGGTAACGAGGTTGATTCATGTTCTCGATCAATCACGAGTCAGTCTCCGCTGTCAATCATGACGTTTCGCCCAAACTGATCACAGACATGAACACTTGAACAAACCTGAACTGACAGGTCCGTGTCCCATCTGCTAACCCGGGGGAGTCAAAGTTTTTATCTGTACGTCATCTTGTTTACCCACAGCACCACCTAGTGACCACCACTGAAATTACTCCAAGACTCACATTAGTTGCAAACTTCACGAAGGCTGTGATCTGTGTAAAAACTTAACGTCGACAAAAATAATCACATTACACAAAGTCCTGAGAGGAAACTGATCTTCATTCATCCTCACGCTAATTAAATCTGTGTCTGTGCTGCTTCGTGCTGGAGCTCAGATTCGTCTACACGAAATCGATTCAAGACAGGAAACTGAACTTTTACTCGCTATAAGTAAAAACTAAATACAAGTAGAATCATTCCGAACTGATGGATCTGCTCTGGACGACCCTCTTGTTCTTCCAGCTGAGGCGACCTCTGCACTCTGTGGGTCAAAGGTCATTTCCAAACCTCTGACCGGCTGCACGGTTACGACGAAGCAGCTGGGATCTCTGTCAGCAGCCGCTCATTTCTCTCAGGGATTTACAGCAGTGACACACCTGCAGCCTGAACGTGACCGAGGCCTGTGTGTGTGTGTGTGTGTTAATATTGTTACCCTGTGTGTTTGTTGTTGTGTGTTTTCCAGGTGTGTGACTCCGACACAGTCTTGGATCCAGCCTGTACCATAGAAATGCTGAAGATCCTCGAGGAAGATGCGATGGTGGGAGGAGTTGGTGGAGACGTGCAGGTGAAATATATATTTATTGCTTTCACTCTAAACCCTGCGCTCACACTTGAAACTGTGCACTTGCACTTAGATTTTCCTGCGCTCAAGCTTCTGCATTTTTCCTCCTTTGCTCTCACTCTCACTTCTGTTTATACGTGAAACATCTTGTTATGACCCTTTTGATGGTAAAGTGTCGAGGGATGTTTGAAGGGCCTAACGCTGCGCAGAGCAGGGTGTGTGGTGTGGCAGCAAGTAAACAAACCAAGGTTTCGGTAAAAGGAACGATAATTTATTATACAAAAATAAACGCCACAGGGAACAAGGGAACTATGAGCGGTGCCCAAGCAGAGAAATCATAAATCACAACGTGCAGTCCTAAGCTAGTGCAGCAACTCTCTACGCTATCACAGAAACAGAATCCTAAGCTGCTCTACACGTAATAAATACATGGAGTGGCACCTACTCCTTACCGAGTGAATGCTAACAGGTGTAAGGCTACTTGGTGGAAATGTAAACCCATGGGTGTCTTATCTGTTCACCTGTCCCCTGTGCGTGAGACAGGACTGAACAAAAACACTGCAGGAGTACAGACCACCAAACAAGGAATACAGAAACAACACAACTCTGTACTCAAACACAACACAGAAAACACAGAAAACACAGAAACCACAGATAACCAACAACAGTACCCCTCTCTCCCCCCCTCTCTCAAAAGAGGCTTCGCACGAACACAGCACACATATATGGGTGGCGGTGGAGCCCTCTGATTGGCTGACAGGGCCAGTGGGATGATTGGACACAGGTGGGCCTGATTGACTGATCACCTGGGGAGAAAACAGAGGAACCGAACACACATACACCACACGGACACAAGAGGGAGACGTAACACATCTGCTCGTGGATTTCTTTGCGAAAAACAAGTCCATCAAAATTAAAACAGAATGTCTGGTGTAGTGTTGACAAATGAAATTGTACCGACCTCGTTACTTTTGGTGCTGTTCCAATAAAAGAGGATAGAGAACTTCTGTTTTTTTGCTAGTGACAGTGTTTTCATAACATAAAGATTTTACTTGAGACCCTTGGTTCTACTTTTGGACAGTCTTCCAGGAGAAGGTAACTCCAAAGAAGCAGCATGAGCACGAGAAGAACATCTGAAGCTTTAGCGCATGAAATCTGAGTGTAAGCTCGCAGTCTGAGCAACAGCACATCTAAGCACAAGCTGTTTGAGTGCAAGTGCAGATTGAAAGCTTTAACAAATGTGAAATCAATATAATAAAAGAGGAAAAATAAAAATGCCCTCTTACCTTTTTTCTGTCTTTCTTTTCTGCAGATCCTCAACAAGTACGACTCGTGGATCTCCTTCCTCAGCAGCGTGCGCTACTGGATGGCCTTCAACATAGAGCGAGCCTGCCAGTCCTACTTCGGATGTGTCCAGTGCATCAGCGGCCCCCTGGGGATGTACAGGAACTCTTTGCTCCAGCGCTTCCTGGAGCCCTGGTACCACCAGACCTTCCTCGGCTCCAAGTGCAGCTTCGGCGACGACCGCCATCTCACCAACCGGGTGCTCAGCTTCGGCTACAAGACGAAATTCACGGCGCGGTCGCAGTGCCAGACTGAGACGCCAACACAGTATCTGCGTTGGCTCAACCAGCAGACTCGATGGAGCAAGTCCTACTTCCGCGAGTGGCTCTACAACGCCCTGTGGTTCCACAAGCACAGCCTCTGGATGACCTACGAGTCTGTGGTCACCGGGTTCTTCCCCTTCTTCCTGGTCGCCACCGTCATCCATCTCTTCTACCGCGGACGGCTCTGGAACATCCTGCTCTTTTTATTGACGGTGCAGCTGGTCGGGATGGTGAAGGCCACCTACGCCTGTTTCCTGCGCGGCAGCCTGGTCATGATCTTCATGTCGCTCTACTCTCTGGTCTACATGTCCAGCTTGCTCCCTGCCAAAATATTTGCCCTGCTCACCATCAACAAGGCGGGATGGGGCACCTCAGGGCGCAGGAAGATCGTTGTCAATCTCATTGGCGCCGTGCCCGTCACAGTGTGGGCGATGGTGCTGCTCGGAGGTGTGGTGTACACCGTCTACTGCGAAACACAGGAGCCATTCAGTGAGACAGAGAAAGCCTTGTTGATAACAGGGACGATACTCTACGCCTGCTACTGGATCATTCTGCTGGTGCTCTACCTCGCCATCGTAGCCAAACGCTGCAACAAGAGGGAGGAGCAGTATCACCTGCCGTACGCGGAGGCATAAACCCTTTACCCAGAGAGACTGGTGGGACCTCCGCACCACATTTCACTGCAGTGTGATCCCAGTGAGGTCACGTCGACCCCGTGCACTGCTGGAGCGATGAGCTGTGGACCAGCCACCGTCACAGCTTCATCACTGGTGCTAAAAAGGTGTGAATCTCAAATCTGAGCAGCAGGAATCGAATCGATTGGTGGGAGACGGAGAGATGATGCACAGAGCGCTCCCACTCATATCATCCTCAATGGTGCTTCACTTTAAAAAAAAAAAAAAACCAAACGGACCTGAACCAGGTTATAAAGTGATCATACAATGCTCAGAAGAACATGTATGGGTGCAGGTTACCTGTGATAGCAACCGAAGTGTGAAGCGTGGTGCTTTTAATAAATATAAAGCAGGACAACGGACAAAATAAGAGACAAAGAGGTTTTAGTTACTAGTTTTAATGTTCTTCATTTTAGAGAAGATGGAATAAAATGTAATAGAGCCACATTATAAACACAATAAGTTCTCTTAGATTAGTCCAGCAGCTCTTTCCCTGATGGGATGATGGAACGTTCAGGCGTTGGCGTAGAGCCGGAAAGAGGATAAAGTTTAAAGTCGCTGCGGAACCGAGATCTGGTTTAGCGTAAATTAATAGATGTGGATTTTTCTCTCGAGGCAAACTTGTGTTGGTTTAAGTTAAAAACATATTAAATGTACTTCATGACAAATCTTCACAAAACTACAGAGATGATCGGAGAGAAGAAAGAACTGAAGGCAAATATCGAGTTCAGGTTTTTACTGATAAAAGCAATATTCTGCATTGAAAGAGGCGGTGAGCGTTCTGTTGGAATTACTCAGCAGCTAAAGTAATGAGTTACACTTCTCATCACTTTCATATCTCACATGTGGCTTCCTTTATATATATCACATGTCTGGAAACAGAAAGTGACGAGGAATGATGACGGAAACCCATTTTCACCAGTTACTGTAAAGAAAGATGTAAAACGATGCTCCTCCGCTTCCTCCCAGAGCCAGAACATCCAGGATTCGAGCCCCGGAGGCATCACTTGAAAACCGAGTCTGTGCCGATACTCGTCCGATCGATAGTTTTCATCTTCTGCTCAAATAAATCGCATCATTCTGCGTCACCGTCGAATCCAGTTTCCACTTCCTGCTGCTGTCAAAAAAAATGAAGCCAAAATATCTTACACATGGGCGCTGCCATTTTGCTCTAGTGATGTCATTTGTAGCCAGTGTCTGTGCCGGAGCGGAGGCCACGGTTTAGAGGGCGCGTTGTTACGTGAGTCAGTCTCAGCTGTCAATCATGACGCATCACCACGTGCTAATATCAAATCCATCGCTGAGAAACATTTATTTGTACTTGTACGACTTTTTATTTTAACAACAAGATGGTTCGGCTTCACTTTTGGGAGCCGTTGTGTCGGCCATCTTTATTTACAGTCCGTGATTTTATCGTACATGCAGACATGCAAGTGTGAGACGTTCTGTCACTTCCTGGAGGCGTCGTGTAAAAACCTCCATCAGCCGTGAACAGCACAATCATCACCGTGTTTTCGTGGAGCAGCTGGGATTCACCCGACCAGACAATCTGAAACGTTTCCATGTGACCTGCAGGGGTATTTTTGGTGCTGTTGAGCAGTGTCAAACCTGTAACTTATTGCCGTTCAGGCGTGGTCATCTTTCAGTTCACCAGAGGGGGGCGTAGTTTCATTCTAGCGAATTTGTCGTAACTGTATATGGTTGTTTTATATATTGTAAAGTTGCCAAATTCTGTTTCTGTGACAGTAAAGTTTTACTACTGGACTCTGTCGTCTCAGCTGGACGTTTGTACGAGCAGACTTCGTTCATTCATCGCATCAACACGAGTAAAGACTGAAAACCAAAGACGAGAGATTTGATTCCACTGTTTTTACGATGTTTTTATTATTTACCTTCACCAAACCAGTTATTTATCATCAGCGTTTGTTTGTTTGTTTGTTTGTTTGTTCTTCGGCAGGATTAGGGCTCAGTCACACACACATGAAGCTGAAACTCGCCACAGGAAGTTTTGTTCCTCGCTCGCACAGATCAGAAGCAAAGAGAAGCTGAAGGTTCATCTCGGAAAAATTCACGTATGTGTGACCAGGCCTTTGTGCACAAGGACGCTGGAAGTAGGGCTGCAGCACCCCCTGCTGACACGTGTCTGTATGACGTCTGTGAGTTTTATCTGATTTTACATCAAACTCCGTTTTTAAAAAAATCCAACGTGCGAGCAGCATCAGCGTTAACGTCTGTGGACATTTCCTGAATTTGTGCCATTAAATAACTTTGACTTTGAGCGGGATGTGTACGTTTAAACTTGAACTCTTCTCGAGGAAACACACTGTGCATTAAAAGTTCATCGAGCAGCGAAGCCACAGATCACGTGTCTTGATTTCCTGCTTTTCTCTCTGTGTATCACAGGATATTGGAATTTTCCTAAGTCATTAAAAATGCATTCTGTTTCAGACACAATCCGCCCATTCATGCCAAACACTGATTTAAATTTCAACGGCTGCATTGACATTTCTCCTAAAGCTAAAGATATCTTAAGTTCACTACTTCATAGTTCATTTACAGAAATACATTTTCAAGAGTTAATGGGACCAGAACATCAGTGTTTCACCATTTTAAAATAGTTTCAGGTTTGAATCAGTTTCCGTTGTGAAGATGCTGAGGAACCGAAGTGAGAAGCTTGAACAAGACGAAACTGTTACAAGATTTAATTTGAGCACAAATACAGTTTTCTTTTTACAACCATTGGTGCAGCTGAGGCCAGTTTGTCAGGAATAAATCCCCCTTGTACTTGTACAAGTACTTCCTAGTTTATTATGAATCTGAACGACACGAGAACAAGATCTTTCACCGGTGAAACAATACTTTTATACCAAACTGAAAATAATCTCTTCTTTTGGCCGAGGATTTAGTTCATGTTTTCACCTCCGTCCCTTAGTTGATTTGTTTAACAGCAGGTTATAAAGAAACTTTTGAAAGTTTTACAGGAAACTTAGAGGAAGAATGGGACTTTTTTTTAATTATCACTCGTGAGATAAGGCAGTTTTTCAGTGTTTTACTTTTCCCAGGGAATAAAACATCCAACATGGTTAGAGGAGCGATATCTAGAATGTGAATTTGTGCAATTTGTTTCTGATCCAAATAAAAATCCAGATTAAGAGGTAAAATAAAATAAAAAATCTGGATCTGACAGAATGAATGATGTCTTATAAAGAGGCAGTTAAACCTGAGCTGATGTAATCTGTCAGGGGACTGTTGGGCCTGAGCGGAGGTTTGTGTTTTACTGACTGGAATCAAACCTGGGCGGTTATAAATAAATGCTGGGAATCTTAACCACTGGGCCACCGCACACACGCCAGTCAACCGTTCACCTGAGGCTCAGCGTGAAGTCTGTGTGATGTGTGTAGATATTTGGACGTGTGATGAAACGTGTGTCACTTCTGCTGCCTGGTGAACTTAAACACTCTTGTTTCCCAGCAGCGGAACATGAACGTGCTTTTATTTGATCTGAGTGAAGACGTCTTTACAGAAGCTGTGAATGAAAACCAACATTATGTCACCGAGGTCAGTGAAACACACGAGTCACTGTTCCACCGGTGATGACTGAGCGTTTAACAACGTGCTTCTAGGTTTGACTTTAAAAACACGTAGGCAGCTCCAGAGTGTGAGTGTGTGTGTGTGTGTGTGTGTG